TGCAAGGAAACAATTAGGCCAAAGATTACTGGACCACATGAACCCCAGACTCCATGACCAGAAGAAGTAGACGATATCCTGCTACCACTGCTGACTACTGTGAAAGGGATCACAATATAAGGTCCTGAATGGAGTAGAAGAAAAATGTGGCACAAAACTCAAAATCATAAAATAGACCAAGCTTGCTATGGGTCTCTTTAGATTTTCTGCCCCTTTTTGTACTACTTGAGGTAGGTAGTATGTGTCTAGGAATTTGTCCATTTCTTCTAGGTTTTCAAATTTGATGGAATACAGTTTTTCACACTGTTAAGATCAGAGAATATGCTTTATATAATTTCAGTCTGTTTAAGTTTATTGAGGCTTGCTTTGTGGCAGAATGTTTCATGTGGATTTGAGAAGAAAATATAAGTGGCAAGATACAAGTCAGTATACAAAAATCAGGTGAATTCTTCTACATCAACAAAGGAAAAGGAAATGAGAAACACAATACCATTTATAATAGCTACCAAAAAGATAAAATATCTAGGAATAAATTTTATCAGAGACACAAAAGACCTATACAAAGAAAACTATAAAACACTACTACAAGAAACTACAAGAGACCTAGATAAATGGAAGAACCTTCCTTGTTCATGTATAGGAAGACTGAATATTGTGAAAATCTCACTACTACCCAAAGCAATCTACACATTTAATGCAACCCCGATCCAGATACCATCAACATTTTTTAAGGATATGGAAAAACCAATTACTAACTCCATATGGAAAGGAAAGAGACCTCGGATAAGCAGAGCACTGCTGAAGAAGAAGAATAAAGTGGGAGGTCTCACACTCCCGGATCTCAAAACCTACTATATAGGCGCACTAGTCAAAACAGTATGGTATTGGTACAGTGATAGACAGATAGACCAATGGAATAGAATTGAAAACCCAGAAATAGATCAATCCATCTATGGACAGCTGATCTTTGACAAAGGAACAAAACCTATTAAATGGGGGAAGAAATAGCATTTTTAACAAAGGTGCTGGCAAAATTGGATATCCACTTGCAGAAAAATGAAACAAGACCCATACCTAACCCCATACACAAAAACAAACTCAAGTTGGATCAAAGACTTAAATGTAAAACCCAAAACTATAAAGCTCATCAAAGATAAAATAGGGACAAATCTAGATGCCGTAATTTATGGCATAAATAGAATATCAAGCATAACCCAGAATGCACAGGAGGTGGAAGAGAAGCTAGATGACTGGGACCTTTTAAAAATTAAATTCTTATGTGCATCGAAAGACTTCTCCAAAAGGGTAAAATGAGAACCTACTGATTGGGAGAAAATATTTGCCTATGCCATGTCTGACAAAGGACTTATCTCCAAAATTTATAGAAAAGTTAAACACCTCAACACCAAAAAGACAAACAATCCAATTAAAAAATGGGCAAGGTACATGAACAGACACTTCACTAAAGACAATATGCTGGTGGCCAACAAACACATGAGGAATTGTGCGTTATCATTACCCATTCACTCACTGGTGTAGAGTTGGTTCGACTCATAGCAACCCCTCCTCATATTTCCAAAGTGACATCTCTACAGAAGTAGATTGCCCAGTCTTCCTTCTGAGAAGCGGCTGGTGGGTTTGAACCACCAGCCTTCTGGTTAACAGTCAAAAGATATGCAAATTAGCTACAGATAAATGCATAGACAACTGAGAAGATCAGATGGGGTCAGTGAACAGGAATATACTATAGACCAATGATAGATTCAGCTGTGAGGATAATCTTGCACAGATACTAGTGGTACAAAATAACCACAATCATATAGAAGCAACAGAAAATAGACTTGGAGCAGTCCCTCAGAGACAGCCAGACACGTCGGGAGAGAGAACCACCGGATCTGCCAACTCAGGACCATAGTACTGGGGGACACCAGGCTCAATTGACACAACACAATACATAAAAATCTTGTTCCACAACCTGCTTTGGTAAGTAGTGACTGGAGTCTTAAAAGCTTTTGAGCAGCCATCTAAGGTGCAGCTAATGGTTTTCTCTTGTCTGAAGCAAAGAAGAGTGAAGAAAACCAAGGACATTTGGAAATAATCTGCCCTAGCACATGGTGGACCTTGAGACCAGAAGAACCAGATGGTGCCTGGCTACCAATGCCAACCACTCAGGAAGGGATCAAAACTGGAGATCCTGGATAGGAGTGGGAGGAAAAACGTGGAACAAAATTCAAAGACACAAAATGACCAGAATTACTGGTTGGATGGAGTCTGGTGGGACCCCTAAGACTGTGGCACTTTGGGCCTGGGATAAAACTCATTCCCAAGGGCTGGTTCTCAGCCCAACAGTAGTAAGACTTACATGCAGAGCAACCTAGGGCGATACACCCACCTACTCTATGGAGATACATCTCTTGGAGCACTCAGCCATGGGGCACCAGAGGGGCAACATTCACACAGAGGAAAAGCTGGACAGACAGAAGTGCATAACTAAGAAGGGCACTGGTATGGAGGTCACTGGGAAGGAAGAGGAGGAAAGTGGGTTAGGGTTGGGGATAGTAATTGGGGAGTGAAACCAAATGTATGTGAACTGTTGAATGTAAAACAAATTCTGCTCTGTAAATTTGCACCCAAAGCACACACACACACACAAAAGGCATATTGAAGCACTGACTTGATTTTTAGAGCTTAAGTATACAGCTGCATTAGCAAACTGGTGATCTTTTACCTTTATCAAACATGATTAAAATAATTTGGAAATCAGCTCTTGTAATAAGTACAGTCTTCATCATGGCTATTTTAGTAACACTGGTCTAGTGGAACACTTTTACCAGGAAACAAAGATTAAAGCTTATGAATTTTTAAAAATAGATCAGCATGTGTCATTTGAAAAGGTAAGTGTGCTTTTCAAATATGGACAACTGCCACTGCTTCTTAACTTGATTCATTTCTCACCTTCCTCCCTCAAATCCACCTTCTACATTGTAGCCAGGCTGACCATGTCATTGTCCTGCTTAAAATCCTTTAGTGATCCCCATGTTTTACAGAATGAAGTCCACAGTCCTTAGCCAGCATACATGGCCCTTCAGGAGTTGGATTTTGCATCCTCTCCTACCATTCTTTGCCTCCACCTTGATACTCTTAACAGTGCCAAAATAACTCACGTTTCCCAGGATGCAGTTTTCTGCTTTTGCTTCTGCTGCTTTCTTTGCTTGTCATGCACCTCCCAGTTTTCAGGACCTGTTTGATCAATTTCAAACTTTGCAAGTTGGTAAAAATCTTTAATTTCTTCATCTTTGGCATTAGTGGTGGTTGCATAAATTTACATAATAGTTGTATGAACTGGTCTCCCTTGTAGATGTATAGATTATTATCCTGTCACTGACAATGTTGTGCTATATGATAGATCTTAAAATGTTCTTTTTGACAATGAATGTAATGTTCTACTTTGGTCTGTCTTTCTGACATTATTAATATCACATGCAAGTAAAATTTTGCTGTAGATAATTAAAAAATGATGGCAGTAGTACATCAACAGGGAACTGGTAGAAATTCAAGCCAGATTCAGAAGAGGACATGAAATGAAGAATATCATTGGTGATATCAGATGGATCTTGGCTGAAAGCACAGAATACCAGAAGGATGTTTATCTGTGTTTTATTGACTATGCAAAGGCATCCTACTGTGTGGATCATAACAAATTATGGATAACATTTTGAAAAATGGGAATTCCAAAACACTTAATTATATTCACAGGAAACTTGCATATAGATGAAGAGGCAGTCATTCGAACAGAACAAGGGGGTACCATGTGGTTTAAAATCAAGAAAAGTATACATCAGGGTTATATTCTTTCACCATACTTGCTGCATAAATAATTCGAGAAGCTGGATTATCTGAGAAAAGAACACAGCATCAGGATTGAAGAAAGACTCATTAACAACCTGCGATATGCAGATAATACAAGCTTTCTTACTGGAAGCAAACAAGACTTGAAATGCTTAATGATGATGATCAGAGACTACAGCCTTCAATACGAATTACACTTCAACATAACGAAGATAGTAATCCTCACAACTGGGCCAGTAAGCAACAACATAATAAATGGAAAGAAGACTGAAGTTGTCAAGGATTTCATTTTACTTGGATCCACAACTCCTATGAAACAGCAGTAAAGAAAACAAACAACATATTGCATTGGGAAATTTGCTGCAAAAGACTTCTTTAAAGTATTATAAAGCAAAGATGTCACTTTGAAGACTAAGGTATGCCTGACCGAAGCCATGGTGTTTTCTAACACCTCATATGCATGTGAGAGCTGGACAATGAATAAGGAAGACCAAAGAATAATTGATGCATTTGAATTATGATGTTGATGAAAAATCATGAATATACCATAAAACTGCTAGAAGAATGAACAAATCTGTCTTGGAAGTACAACAAGAATACTCCTTAGAAGCAAGGGTAACCAGACTGGATCTTATATGATTTGGACATGTTATCAGGAGGGACTAAGTCCTGGACAAGGAGATATCATGGTTGGTAAAGTGGAGGGTTGAAGAAAAAGAAGAAGACCCTCAATGAGATGGATTGACACAGTGGCTACAACAATGGGCTCAAACACAGCAACGATTGTGAGGATGGCACAGGAACTGTTTCGTTCTGTTGTTTATGAGGTTACTATGAGTCCAAACTGACTCAGTAACACCTAACAACAGCAGCAACAACAGGAGTCTTTGAGTTGTGCAAATTCTCTTGGCTACTAACTAAAAGGCTGGAGATTCAAGTCCATGCAAAGGCACCTTGGAAGAAAGGCCTGGCAATCTACTTCCAAAAAAAAGTCGGAATCTACTTGATGGCAACTGCTTACCAGGGGTCAAAGACCAAATTCTTTGAGTAAAGTAATTCTTCACCCCACCAAGTACCCATTAAAAAGGAAGCTTGCATAGATTTCACTTTTATGGTTGCAAGTACGTTACTCTTGTTTTACTGTTTTGTAGGAAAGTAAGTGGACAGCTCGAGTTCAAGCTCTTCATCAAGAACACAAGAAAGAAAAAGGCCGAGTAAGTTTAAGAAATAAATGGCTTCTAATTGGGTCATTTTTTGAAATTAACGTTTGCTCTTCCTTTTCCACTTAATAAAATTTGTGGTGATCTGTGTAATACAAATGAAGAGTACTTGTATATATATATATATATATATATATATATATATATATATAAACATATACCTGCACGTACGTTCATCTAGTAGCTTATAGAGACTGAAAACGCTATCTCAAATTCAGTGATTCAATTCAGAGATGTTTGTTGAACATCTACTATGTACAGTACTTTATAGAGCCTAAAAATATATGCAAAACATAATCCCTGCTCTCTGGTTATTTATAGTATAGCAGTAGAGCAGAAATGAGTATGCAGATGACTAACGGAAATCAGGATGGGATAAATGGAGAGTGCTATAGTGATAGAAAAGAGAGTTTGTTAAAGTGGGACCATGACTCTGTGTGGATAACACCTGTCTTTGTTTCTCCAGACTAAATCCCTTCTCTGAGTTCCAGATCAGATGTTGTTGTTGTTATGTGTCGTAGAGTCAGACCCAACTTATAGTGACCCCTCCTTGGGTTGCCAAGGCAGTATCACTATCGAAGTAGATTGCCCAACCTTCCTTCCAAGGAGTGGCTGGTGGGTTTGAACCTCCAGCCTTCTGGTTAGCAGTCAAGTGCCTTAGGCACTGTGCTACCAGAGCTCCCCCAGATCAGATGGACACCTTTATACTTGACCTCTTCATAGGCTTCTCAAACTTAACATGCCTAAAATGAAGTTCTTGGGTTTCTTTCTAGATATGTTTTTCTTTTGGTAAATAGTACCCAGTCCACTGAGTTACACATTTTCTTATATTCCTTTCTTTCCCTTAATCTTCAAGCCAGGCTATAAGCCGGTCCTGACGTTTATCTCATACCATATACTTTTATGTATTTTTGTTGCCTCCACCCTTGATCAAGCTTCTGTCATTTCTAAAAGAGCTCCCTAACTGATCTCCTCAATTTCTACTTTCCCCTTTCCTAATCTGATCTTCACACAGTGGGCAGAATATTCTAGCTACTAGTAAGCTTCATCGATATCTCCCTCCTTCTAGCTATCATGGCCTTCTGGTAATTCCTAGAACATCCCAGCCTTCTTTTCTTTATTCATGCTTTTCACTGCTCAGAGGCCCTTCCTCTTACTTTTCATGTGGCTTTCTCCTTTTGTATTAGTTTTCTGTGCAGTGTAGAAAATAACTACAAATTTAGTGGCTAAAAATGACACATTATGGTCATTTTATATAGCCTTTCTTGCCATAGTTTTGTGAATCCTGTAAAATGATTGGCTGAGACTATGCAAATAAGGTGTTGTGGCCCACCAAGGAGATTAGACAGCACTACTAATAATGAAAATAAGATGTGTAGCACCTTGTGGAGGTGGGACCATGCAAATAAGGTGTTTGGAACCCTAATAAGGGGATTGGCTGGTTTTTCTATCCCACTAGGCTTAAAATGAACCTTCCCAGAGGTGGGAAAGAGGGGACCTTACTGTCATCAAAAATGAAGATCTGGGTGTAGAGTGTGTCCTTTGGACCCAGGGTCTCTATGCTGAGAACCTCTTAGATTCAGAAGACAGAGTGCTGTAACACCAGAGATAACATGAGATGGTAAGAAGTAGTGTCAGGGAAACTGGCAGTAGAACCAGGAAGATGGCCTGAGCTCATGGAGTTGCAGCTACAGTGGGTGTGCTGACCCACAAAGCTAGAGCGCTGAACAGCATCTGCAAGAGGTTTGCTGGCAGAGTACGGTGCCTCCAGGCACTAATTGATGCCTGAGCAGGGTTTGGGCCAGACTAAAGAGGATCCTGTATGCAGGAGGCCTAGAGGAGCTTTCCTGTGGAGGCTGAGTTCAAGGGTCCAGGCCTAAGCTGGACCTAGTAGCATAGGCCTGCCTGTGGGCAAGGCTGGTGAAAAAGCTGTCCTGATCGAGGAACTAAATCCCAAGGTATAACCTGTTACATCCCTAATATACTGCCCCCTAATTGTCAGTATTGTCTGTGATTTCTATGTGAGCCCTAGAGCAAATTATCAAACCTAGCAGAGAAGTAGAGAGTGCTGTGGGGGGCACAACTGGTGTCAGAATTGGTAAAAAGTTGGAGAGTAGAAATATGTCTGACCTCTTCCTCACAGGGATCAGTCTTGGGCTGATGTTGGTCTTGACTCTCTTTCCACCCCATTGGGGAGAGAGATGAAGTCTGACCCTGCCACACAGCCATTATCTACACACCCATTTGTTTTCTCACAGTTTCCATGGGTTAGGAGTCCATGCATGGCTCACTTGGCTCTTCTGCTCAGGGTTTCACCAGGCTGCCTTCCAGGTGTCAGCTGGGCTGTGTTCTCATGTGGAGCTCGGGTCCTTTTCCAAGCTCATTCAAGGTATTGGAGTATTCATTTCTGTCCTTGTGGTTGTTGGATTGAGGCCCTCAGTTCTTAAAGGCCACTCCTGTCTCCATAGACATTTACAATGTGGCCGTTTGCTTCTTTAAGGGCAGTCGGAGTTATCTACTCAGGAAGGGCCTAGACCTTCTTTTAAAGGGGCTGCCTGATCAGGTCAGACCCTCCATGATTATTTCCTTTTATTACCTCAGAGTCAACAGATTAGGGACTCTAATTACATCTGCATACTCCCTTCAATTTCCCCATATTGTATTGGCTAGAAGCATGTCAGAGGTGTAACATGTACACCAGGAGGTGGAATTTAGGGCCTGTCTTAGAATCCTGCCCAATACATCCTCTTCTGGCCTTAGCTTACTATCACCTGAGACCAGTCCATTTAAGTAGGTGGTGCCCTCCCCACTTTATTATCATTTCACCTATAGCTCTGATCACTATTTTAGCTTAATTTCTTGTTTGCTTGTTTATACTCTTTCCTTCCAACCAGGTCATTAGCCCTTTTTAAGGAAGGGCTATCTGTTCTCCATTGTATTGCTAACACCCAATAATGTACCTAAAATGTAGTTGGCACTCATTAAATCCTTGCTGAATGAATGTGGAAGGTGGCTAGAGGATCAAAGGGAGTCATTCAACCTGGGTTTTTTAATAGATGGGGAATGAGGAATGCTAATCATAGGGCTCAAAAGAGTAAGGTTAAGAGTCTTCAGTTCTGTAAGCATAAGCACGGTTGCTGTGGGGAGGACACTATGTCTGTTTTCATCATGGACCACAGGGAGCCTTTGCTCAGGGCAGTCGCCACATAGTTAGGAGGATGGTGTTCACTTTCTAGTTTGTTTTATCTGCAATCAAGGAGCAGTTTCCATGGAGCTGAGGATGGTAATTTTTCTGTACCATAAGCAGATCCATTATGCAAAAAGCGGTTTCTGTTGTCCATGTGTTATATAGAAGTAAAAATGGACCGATGTTACAATTCATATTGTGGTGTGCTGGGTTGTTGTTGTTGTTGTTGTTATGTGCCGTCGAGTCGGACCGACTCATAGTGACCCCGCCTTGGGTTTCCGAGGCAGTATCACTACAGAAGTAGATTGCTCCATCTTCCTTCTGAGGAGTGGCTGGTAGGTTTGAACCGCCAGCCTTCTGGTTAGCAGTCAAGTGCTGGAGATGTCCCATATTGGTTTGCCAGAATCAATTGTGCATGTCTCTTCCCATTCAGGCTTTTTTTTTTTTTTTGCAAGTTGGCTAATCAGCATACTGCTGCATTCATAGAGGTATTTAGAAATAATTATATATATATAGTCACCTCTATTTCACCCTTCTAAGAATTTTCTAAGATGACAGTACTTTTATTCCTACTTTATAGATGAGGAAGCAGAGTCTTAGAAAGATGCTGACTTGCCCAAACAAGGAGTCCAGGTTAAGAGCTCAGCTGCTAACTGAAAAGTTTGTGGTTCGAGCCCACCCAGCAGTCTTTAGGAGAAAGACCTGGAGATCTGCCTCCATAGAGATGACAACCTAGAAAACCATTTGGGACAGTGTCCCTCTGTCCATGGGGTTGCTGTAAGTCAGAATAGACTCAGTGGCACCCAAAAACAACAACATCTTGCCCAAGGTCACTGGTATTTGAATGCTCTTAACTCCAGGGCCCAACCCTTGTAACTGTTTCATTGTCTTGCTTGGCTGTTATGGTTCAGACATTAAGACAGGTCTCGGTACATAACAACAAACAACAACATTAAGGACCTGGGGAGGAGAGTGTTGTTGTTGTTGTTGTTATGTGCCGTCAAGTCGGACCCAACTCATAGCGACCCCTCCTTGGGTTTCCGAGGCAGTATCACTACAGAAGTAGATTGCCCAACCTTCCTTCCAAGGAGTGGCTGGTGGGTTTGAACCTCCAGCCTTCTGGTTAGCAGTTAAGTGCCTTAGGCACTACGCTACCAGAGCTCCTGGGGAGGAGAGTAGACAGCGACAACTTGGCGTGGTGGTTTTTCTGTAAGAACATTTTGTCTTTCCTTTGAGATGCTTTAAGGTAATAGTTCCTAACCCAGAATGCACTTGAGAATTAATTGAGAATCTTTTCCAAAATATGCATGCCCAAGCTCTACTGTCAGGTTTCAATCTAGTAGGTAAACATGGGAAATATTTTGGGGAAAAATATTTTTTGGGAAAGAAACAAAACAAAATTCAGACAATTCTAATTTGGATCCATGTTTTTAACCATTGCTCTTTGATAGTTTAAATACTTATAGATGCTTTATTATTTTTATTTTGATTGTGGTAAAATATATACAACAAAACATTTGCCATTTCAATCATTTGTGTGAACAATTCAGTGACAGTAATTGTTTTCTTTATGTTGTGCTACCACCACCACTACCTGTTTCCAAATATCTTCATCACAATAGAGGTAATTTTGACTTCCTACTGGTTTAAAGTGCTCTGTGTTCCACCCAGCTGTGGGGATGACAGTGGCTTTTAGCTGGATGCAATGAGAGTTACAGATTTACACTTTACTACTGCAGTTTGTGCTATGGAAGAAGGTGAAGCTTTTCCTGGTGATGAGTGAGGTGCGTTGGTGCAGGTGTTTGGAGTATGGTGGTGCCGCTAGGCTACACTGCTTCCTTATCTATTGGTTTTCTTGTTTAGAAGCTGCTTCCTTCTCCCTTCATTTCTCTTCAGCCCTAACAGAGGGGAAAATACAATCAAGTTTAGTAATCTCTGCCTGTGACCAAACTATTAATTATTCCACATGATTGGTGCTTACTGTTCCTACAATGCACATATTGTATTTCTCTGTTTAAGGGAAGTTGCATTTGCCAACTTTTTATTGCTTTGCCTAGATTCTTGGCAGTCTTTTTTTTTTTTTTTTTAAATAACGATTGGTAGGAGTTCAAAGGGAGTCACAGATAAGAGATGGCAACAAAAGATTCTTTAGAGTTTGAAAGGTTGTAGAGTGGGTCACACGATTTAAGAAAAGAGGATGATGTGACTAGGACTGGGGGAGAAGAAAAGCAACTTGAAATGGTAGAAGGTTACAAAAAACAGCTTTAAGGGTCACAAGCTTTTTGAAATGATTTGTGGTTTGCCCTTATTTAGATCCCACAACATTCTTGTAGTGAACTTTTTCAGGTACCTTTCTGGTAATTCTAATACCAAAATAAACCATCCCTCAGTTTTTTCTGTGTCCCTGTTCTTTTTGGCTCCTAGAATGAATTCCCACAGTGTTGATCAGGTCCTAGGTCCTAAGTCCCCCCTGAAACACCGGAATCTTCACTGGTTTTTTTTCTATTTTCAAGCTCAGCATTTCCCAAACTGTGCTTCTGGAGCTGCAGTCTTTCAGGGGAGGGTAGTAAGTGCAATTTGTGGAAAAAATGGTTTTGTGGCTAAATAAAATTGGGGACGTTTATGATAGTGTCCTCTGGATATTCTTAGCATGTGAGCATATGAAAGGCTCTTTTTAGTCCTCACGCAAACCTTTTTTGACGTGGTTAAACCAAGTGCTTGTCCAGCTTCGTGAATAACACACACATACACACATATATACATACACACACACATAGAGTTGCTGTTGAGTGACTTGAACTCATACTGACCCCATGTGTGTCAGAATGGAATTGTGCTCCATAGTGTTTCCCAATAGCTGATAGTTTGGAAGTAGGTTGCCAGGTCTTTCTTCCTAGGTGCATCTGGGTGTACTTGATTTGATTAGCAATGAGTGTGTTAACCATTTGCACCATGCATGGAGTGCCTCATGAGCACAGAGCACTTCATTTGGGCAGTCCAGGGAAGACAGTACAAAGTGTTAATTGAGAGCATGGGTTTTGAAGCCAGACAGATGGAAGTCTGGGCTCTGCCCCCTCTGGCTGTCTGAATTTGGGCCAGTTACTTTACATCCCTAGACTTGAGTTCCTTCATCTGTACAATGGGGTCATAACATGTATCCACAAGGTTGTGGTATGGATTAAACAAGATGAATTGCTTAACATAATGTCCAGCACGTGGTGAGTGTTGACATAAAAGAATAAACAAGTTAGGAAATGCTGCTCTAGATCCTCTCATCTACTCCTCTCAGAGACAGTTACTCAGTCTTCCTCATTTCCTTCATTTGATCCACATATCCCTGTCTCTTCTTCCAGGCCCTATGATTAGAATGTCTTTAGCCCTAAATTATTGAAAGCAAAGTCTTTTTCTTTTTGCCTAATCTATGACCTTCCTTGGCATCACATCTCTAAAGATGCGTCTATCTGGGACTCTGGGTGTCTGTCTCTCTGCTTCTCTCCCTTTCCTCCCCTCCCTCTGTCCATTCCTTCTTTCCTCTCTCTCCTCCTCTTTCCGTCTCCCCACCTCCTTTTCTTGGTACTTTTTAAGAACCTGGTAAGGGCTGTGGGTTGTGCTAGTTGCTGGGGGTATAAAAATAATGGAGATGCCATCTCTGCCCCTGGGACACACACTTGAGCCAGAGACTTGTAGAACAGAACTGCATGGCAAATTCAGTGATAGACGCATGGGCAAAGGGCTCTGAGAGCATGGGGTCAAAGAAGCCTTAATCCTTTATTGTTATGTATCCATATGTTGTTTCATGTAATGTGATCAAGTTCACTCAACTGTTCACATCAGTGCATCTGCCTTGGGTCATGAGCTCTCTGGAAACAGATGAAGCATCGCATACAGCCAGAGGCTTGATAGGCAGTGATCAAAGCTATCTTCAATTATTAGATGTGCATGGATACTATAAAGGCAGCAAAGAAAGCAGAGTATGCACATTAAAAACTGCATTTTTCATACAGTTTACAGAGGGATGTGTTCCTTAATTTTTTTCAGCTCCTGTCACATATAGAGAAACTTAGGAGCTCCATGATAGATGATCTAAATGCAAGTAATGTTTTCTATAAGAAGAGGATAGAAGAGCTAGGGCAGAGACTGCAGGAGCAGAATGAGCTGATCATTACTCAGAGACAGCAGGTATGTCTGGATATGTATCGGCACTGTGCTGCTTTAAACATTGTAATTGACTTAAGAACATGAGTTTTTATTGCAGAGCATTTATACTTGTATAAGGTAAAGAAGATAGAGCACTGTCCCCCATAATAGCTTCTAAAAGTAAATCCAATAAGATAAACTTTTTTGAAAAAATACTATTTAAAAATACATAGAGCAGTTTTATTCATTTCAAATTTAGAATTTGAAGTTAGGTAAGAATGTCTTTTGGTCTTTGCTTTGAAAAGCAGCCAAATCCAAATTCTGCTTTCATGAAATGCTTGTTTCCGTGTCTTTAAAGTATATGTGTCTTATGCTTTTGGAGGATTTGTGAAAATGTTAATTTACTAAGTACATTATCTGTCCATTATGCAGTACGTCTGTATTATTTTCAAGTGTGTATCGCTAGAAGACTGTTTCTCTTTGCAGATTAAAGAGTTTACCAGTAAACCATTAAACATTGCCAGTGAACCCAAAGGTAAGTGCACTGACGGCACTGGGCTGGAGGCAAAGCATGCCTCCCTAACTGTGTGCTGGCCACTGGAAGAATATGAGGCCACACAATTTGTGTCTGCTGCAAGGGAATTCCTCCTGATATTTTAATTTGGGAGATCTGTTACCATAACCCAGAAAGCTGAAGAATTTTAATTATCTATACTATTATCTAATGATCTCATGTATTTGAAGTTGCTATCAGAATACAGTTATACATATATGCATGCTAAGTCACTATTTACCTATTGATTTATATTACTGAGTTTCCTTCAAGATTAAAAGCACAGGGTTTAGAGACCAGCTGGTTTCAGTTCCCATCTCCAGTACTTTGTAGCTTTGAGAGTCTCTGCCTCAGTTTCCTCATATCTATAGTAAGAATATTAATAGTAACTATATCATAAATGCGTTATGAGGATTAAATGAGATAACCCATATGAAGTATATCTGTCGAAAATTTGTTCCAAAAAAATGACACTCACTGCCATCGAGTTGATTGCAACTCATAGCAATCCGTCCTTGGGTTTCTGTGGTGGTATCACTATGGAAGTGGATTGCCCAGTCTTCCTTCCGGGGAGTAGCTGGTGGGTTTGAAGCTCCAGTCTTCTGGTTAGCAGTCAAATGCCTTAGGCACTATGCCACTAGAGCTCAGTGTTTATTATTATTGTTAATAGTAAAACTCTGAATTATTTTAGAGTACTATAAGGATTTGCTATTTTTCTCAATTGCAGTATTGTGAAGGTTAAAAGTTCATTTTAAAAACAAACAAACAAACATTTTTCTAAAAAAACAAACAAACCTATTCCTGTCAAATTGATTCCAATTCATGGAAATGCCATGAATTTTAAACATAGTGGGGGTCTATACAACCTACTGACTAAACCAGTAATAGCTCAATCCTCTTCATATCATTTGAGAAGCTAGACTAGAAGTGGGAATGGGCATCAGAGTGAGATCGGGAGACAGAAATGAAGTTCTCATAATATAGTCAGAAAGCATGCCTTTTGTCTCATCTCCTGCTGAGTGATCCCAATCTTGGTGAGTTCCTGCAAGTCTCACGTATAAAGAATCGTCCTTTACTTGAGGAACCACAACTATGGATTGTCTTACTATTTCTTACTATTTCTGGGGGCCACGGGAGACACATTGATCATCTTGTTTTGATATAACGCTAAGCTTCCCATTAACTTCTCTTTAGATAGATAATGAGAGTTCAGATAAACAAGAGTACCCCTCTATAATTACTTAAATATCATAAATATTTGGCTGAAAAATAATTTTAGGAAAACTATAGATTGAAAAGTATTTATGTTAACCATCTTTACTATGTTGCTATATATTGGCAAATTTCATTATTTTCTGGGAAAAATAGATTAAGATAAAGTCTGTCAAAATTTAGTTCATAGCTTGTAATTTTTGTTATTAACTAATTCTTTGTTATTTCAGGGACTCCTTTAACCTGGCAAACTTTTGAATCTAAGCCAACTGCCCCAGCTGTACCTAGTAAGTTTCTGTAACAGGTTCAGAGTTCTAAAGACATCTTTAAAATGCTAAACCAAAACATAACTTCTGCTTATTTATTTATAAAGACCTTTATTTGAAAACCAATTTCTTTGGATATTACATAATTAAATTTGATACCTGGTTTTGACCTAGTTCTAAAACCCACAGTTGTAAATGTCAACATGATTTTGGTCAGCCAAACCTATTATTTTGTATTAGTCTAATAAAGAGACTACTAAAAATTCTTTGGCAGGCTCAGGTTGTACTGTTGAACTTTCCAGAAGTCTGCACTGTGACCATGTGACTCTATGTGCTATGTGTCACATTTGGCATCCCTGAGCCTCTCACTGCTACAGGCCTGGCTCATTATAGTTGCCCGGTTGTGGTCAGCTCAGCATGTGTGTCTCTCAGAGCTGTCAAGATTTGGCAGTACACCAGAAAGACATAATCTCTACAGTTTATAAACGGACAAGAGTTTTTTAAAAAATAATAATTAGTTTAAATATTTTTATTTTCATTCGGGAAAGTTTACAGGAGAGGAGAACTATGAGTAGTGGAAGTAAGGGAGCAAGCAGGCAATTGTGAGCAAAAGAGAGCAGTTGGAGACATGCCAGCGAACAAGGATCTGGCATATTCGAGGGCTCCTGAGCTAAGGGTGAGAGAGATGCACCATAAATATGGGCCCAGAAATGGTGAGAAGCCTGTACAGTGATGAAAAATATTAATGAGCGTGTTTTGGAATTTGGCACAATTGACAGGAAAATGTTGACATTTTAAAAGCTGCTTGGTCTTCTCTGATGTTTCTTAAGGGCTCTTGTGTTGGAAGTTAAAGAGATCTAGAGGAGCAGGGAGGGAAGGGGAAGTTAACATCTTACCAAATAAAAATGAATTAAATAAAAAACTCCACATTTCAAAGCAGAATGGTAAAGTTAAAAGACAGTAAGTTATTTAAACAAAACAACTTTGTAAGCTGATTAAATTCAAATATACAAACAGAAAAAAATATCAAAGCTATATTTGGTTAGGGCAGTGATCTCCAAATAGAGCCTTCAGATCCCCTGGGTGTACAACATGCTCTAATGGGATATGAAAATGAAAATATTAGAGCTTCTTTTTATATGTTTGAAAAAACTTTCATCCTTTTATTGTTTTTAGTTTAGTTTTTTTTTTAATGTTTTACAACATAGATAATACTTGACTCTAAAAAAACAAAATCAAACTCACTGCTGTCGAATCAGATCCAACTCATAGCGACCCCCCCTTGGGTTTCTGAGGTGGTATCACTATGGAAGTAGATTGCCCAATCTTCCTTCCAAGGAGCAGCTGGTGGGTTTGAACTATCAACCTTCTGGTTAGCAGTCAAATGCCTTAGGCGCTACGCCACCAGAGCTCCCATTATGTTGTTGTTGTTGTTATGTGCCATCAAGTCAGACCTGACTCATAGCGACCCCTCCTTGGGTTTCCAAGGCAGTTTCACTACGGAAGTAGATTGCCCCATCTTCCTTCCAAGGAGTGGCTGATGGGTTTGAACCTCCAGCCTTCTGGTTAGCAGTCAAGTGCCTTAGGCACTACGCTACCAGAGCTCCTTCTATAGTAGATGTAAATTTTATTTAAATGAGTATGTACATAATGAGGTGGAGTGCTCCTTAAGAACTTTTACTGACCAAGGCATATGGTCAAGAGAATTTGGGTGCCACTGGATTCTAGAGAATTCATGGGAAAAGTGGGCCCATAACTGCATGTGTAGGGGCCCCTTCACAGGTGGGGCCTTTGGGTTTCATGATAACTGGGCAGGAAAGGGTGGCTGGCTCATCCCCAGTCCTTCTCTCAGTATGAGAAAGGTTATTAAAACCAAGGTTTGTACAGTTAAAAGAAAGTACATAACTCTAAGGTCAGAAAAATTCACATCACAAAGTGAAAGACAATTTAGGATATCTGAAATCAGAACTATACCCAGAAAATTGAAGGATTTCTAACATAAGCTAGATATGGGCAAACATGTTGACCCAATTGATTTATATTATTGGCAATTTAGGCACTAGTTGGTCGTTTCATAATTTATATTCTGGCCATCCAAAATAAAGTAATGAAGAAGAAGACCTGGATGTGATTAATTTTAGTGAGATTGGAACTTCTGATTCTGAAAACTGAAGTAGTATCTGCATCAGAGCTAGATAGTAAATATTTTGTATTTTTTATTCTGTAAGGGACAAGATAGTGACTGTTTTAGGCCTTGTGGGCTATATGGTCTTTTTTGGTGACTATTCAACTCTGCTGTTGTTGTAGCACAAAATCTGCCACAGACCATGCATAAAAGAATGGATGTGGTTATGTTCCGGAAAACTCTGTTTAGAAAAACAGTGGGTTTGATTTTGTGCCAGGGAATCTTTCCCTGTCAAGGGTTGGCCCCATCAGGCTCTTGCCTTCTACTGACTAAGAATGGAGAGGAGAGGAGAGGCTTAGATTTTCCACACCAACAAAACTTTTATTAAGGGAGAAAGAAAGTAGCTCATGAGGAGAGTCAAAGAGAGTCTAAGCAATGCCAGCCTTTGTCTCCCTGAGCAGAGATTTACTGGGGCTTTTAAGGGTTTAGAGACAGGTAGGGATTTTCTGAGAAAATGTGGTAGTTTCCTAGAGAGGGTGGCCCTATGGAAATTGGGTGCATGTACAGGGGTTACAGGGGTTTCTGGGATGCTTAATATCATGTGCAGTCCCTTGGAGTGCTGGTTTGATACCCAGTCAGGGCCTCTGTCATCTCAGGGAGGTCATGTAAGGGCAATTGTTGCTGTATTGTGCATGCCTGGAGAGCTGAAAATTAGGTTGCCCCCAAACGTCTGCAAAAGTCTTGAAGCACAGAGCTCGGGGAGGCTGCTGGTTATTTCTGTACTCTGTGTTTCAGGATGTCCCTTAGGCTTGAGCTAAAGCAATTAGGCTTACAATTTATGTTTTTAGTTAATGCTTTGGGTCCTGTTACCTTATACCTGCCTTAATTTGTTCTATGGGCTATAGTTTGCCAAACCCTGATCTAAATTATAAAATTGCAAATTGGTTTGAGGATCACATTTCCACAATTATTAGTAATTTGCAATAGTTAGGAGTTGAACAGTTTACTGTTAGCCTTTGTAAAGACCAAAAATATATGCCTGTGGAGGGAAGTAGCTCAAGTTTTTGGCCAGTAGTTTTCAAAGTTGGATTCAAATTAAAGAGCTATCTTAATAAGCCTGAGAAAGAGTCAGTGAAGTAGTAGACCATATTGGTTAGTGAAAACAAATTGCACAAATAAATAATCTAGAGAGAAACCCCAGGCAAAAATTGTCGAATATTGGAAGAAAGGCTGTAGAATCTCATTCTCTGGAGATATTTTACAGTAGTTTAGTTTCATTTCAATCAGATATACTCTTCTCTAAAGGGAGCTCTGGTAGTGTAGTACCTAAGGCACTTGACTGCTAACCAGAAAGTTGGCGGTTCAAACCCACCAGCCACTCCTTGGAAGGAAGGTTGGGCAATCTACTTCCATAGTGATACTGCCTCGGAAACCCAAGGGGGGGTCGCTATGAGTCACAGTCAACTCAACGGCAATGAGTTTGGTTAAAGGCCACAGGGTGAATGAATGGCCTATCACTGTGCCTTCCAACCTAGTGATTGCAGAATATTTTAAAAAATTGGTTTATTATAGACGAATGTTCACAGAGGCATTATTCATATTATACAAAAAGTAGAAATCACCCAAATGTCCATTAACAGATGAGTCAATAAACAAAATGTGGTATATACATACAGTAGAATAAAAAAGGAATAAAGTACTGAAACATGCCACCACATGGATGATGAAAACGTTACGCCAAGTGATAGACCATTATCCCAGATATGAAAAACCACCTATATTGTATGATTATTGTCTATATGAAATGTCCACAGTAGGCACATCATAGAGACAGAAAGTAGATTAGTAGTTGCCAGAGGCTAGGAGGAGAAGGGAATGAGGAGTATCAGCTAATGGCTATGAGATGTTTTAGAGAATAAAGAAAATATTAAACATTAGGTAGTGGTTATGATTGAATAACTGTGAATATACTAAAAGCCACTACATTATATGTTTTAAAAAGGTGGTTGAATTATATCTCAATGAAGTTATTTTAAAAATGGATTTAGATTAGTTGTGTAATGTCTTTGTCATTTTAAGCATTGTCCCTTATGATCTGTATATATCTTGACTAATTTGAGCAATTGACTCTCATTGTGCTTGAGTGCTTTCACTTTAATTATGGAACCCTGTGAGCTTTTTCCTTTTTATGCTGTTTCAGTGAATGCCCCTGCACCACAGACTTTGGATGCTAAATCAAGTTTAACGTTGTTGTTGTTGTTATTTGCTGTCGAGTCGGCCCCGACTCATAGCGACTCCTCCTTGGGTTTCCGAGGCAGTTATCACTACGGAAGTAGGATTGCCCAACCTTACTTCCGAGGAGTGGCTGGTGGGTTTGAACCACCAGCCTTCTGGTTAGCAGTCAAGTGCCTTAGGCACTATGCTACCAGAGCTCCTAAGTTTAACATTAGCACCTGGTAAATTTCAGCAACAGTCTGAATGTTTTGTATCCATTTTCTGCCCTGAGCTAGAGAACTTATTAACTGAAAGTGCTTCTGTGGGGATAATTATATAAAACAGCAAACATCTTAGTGATTTTAAAGCAGTTAATACAACTGCAGTCTTTATATGTAGTATTATTGTAAACTGAAGGTAAAGACTGGGGTCATAAAGTTTAAAATGTGTATGTTGCCACTCACAAGTAGAGATTTTAACTTTGCATTGTACTTTTATTATTTATGATTTTTGGTGGAAAGTAGTAGGTCTTGGGTGAGAGCGAGGGTGACTTTTTCCTAGGAAAGCCAGTCAGCCAGCACACGCCACAGGGCATATGTGATTGTTTTTCTAACTTTCACTGTGTCAGTGAGTCACCTTTTTTAAGCAAACAGTTTCAATGACTGGTTGGGAAAATGTAGAAAAGACTCGTGATGGAAACCAAAGGGAAAAAGTAGAATCCACTAGAAGAAATCCCTGCTAGGATTCAGTTGTTGCACCAGACCACAAGGATGAGAATTGTTACCCACATGATTCAATGGAAGGAATGAAAATTTGTAGTCGTATTTTACTTTTAAACAATTAAGGTGCTTACAGTTTTTCATAATGTGGTTTATAATACTTTGTTTTCTTGTGGTCTGCTGTGTATTACAAATGAATCCAGATAGGAGGGGGCCTGTCTTTTTCCCGTCTTACCTACAGATGCTGCTGAAGTCTAATGATTACATCATCCCACCCAGTTCCAGTCTTTTGGTTAGACTTAACTCCTTGATCTGACTGGTTAGTCGACTGGGACTTTTTGTTTCCATAAAGAGTGAAGGTCTTCAGTAGTTATTCTTTTTGCTCACTGACTGAGGAAATTGTTTATTGCACCTTACTTTTTTTCTAAGATCATTTCACGTTGATCACTTCTCTTGACCACGTAATGTATACATTCTCCTTATACTGGATCTTTTTATTTACAAATGGTTAGCACATGCATTTTTTTTTTTTTTCCCCACCTTTGGACCAATGACAGAGATATGTTGGACCTAGATAATTTGCTTTAATATTGAATATACAAGAAAATTATCTTGCAGTCATTTGCTGTTTAAGTTATTTTAGGTCAGGTCTAAAATATATCTCTGTTGACTGCCTAATTTTTAGGGTTGGTTTTTGTAAGGTATACTTCCGTGGTGTTTTTTCGTTGATTTCTCTTTTTTTCCTACTTGAATATTGGTAACTTTTGTATGTCATTATACATGGTCTACATTTCCCTTGTTCTGTATTTGTATGACCTTTGATAAAGACTGCATAGAGTAGTAGGTACAGTAAGCTGTCTGGGGTTAACTCCAGGGTCCTGACAAATCTATCAATTCTAGACCACTGTATTCGATTGCAGTCCCTGCTCTGATTAGATCAAGGCTGTATGAATTAGTCATGTCCCCTTCCTGGTATTTTGGGGAGTTGAAATTTTAGTTTTACATGCCAGCCAGATCTGGCAAAGGGCCTACAACCCTTGAATTGGGATCAAAGCTGATTTGTGAGCATCTCAATGGGCCAGGAGCTAGGAGGAGACTTGGCAGCCCTCCTCATCATGACAGCTTTTCCGCCTGTGGTTAGGAGATGTATGTTGGAGGGGCCGGAAATAGTTATGTATTGCATAATGTTAATTAGCCTATTTATCCCTCTAAAAGCTAAAAGATCCTTTTATTTCATCTCAAAGCATGCTTAGGTTTTTTACTATGAAAAATGTCATGATTACTCACTGTCTTAGGTTGAATTCCCTGGGAAAGAGGCACTGAGGCAGAGATTTATAGATGGGAGGCTAACTGGGGAGTGCTTTTGGACAAAACCTGTGAGTGAAACAGCTTTGGGCTGAAGACACATTGAACCCAGGTGCAGCTACAGCAAAGGCCTCAGCTCTGGGAGGCCTTCACCAGTTCTGCTGGGAGCTTTAGAGCTTTAGAGCTGGGATGGGCATTTGGGATGCCCTCCACTGAGGCTAGGGGGAGGGCCACTGCACTCTTGCATCCATTAGTTATCAGATGTAGGCTGCCCCACGGAGGGAGTGTTGATGTTCCGCTGGCTGAGGGCCGTTATGGAGAGATACTCTACTGTGAGACCGTGAGTGGCCAGGAGCCAAGACTGCCACTTCTCTGCCCAGAAAGTGAGTCAGAAAAAGTGGGAACTTTGATAATTCCTCTCCTTTTTGATTTTGCTAGTTGAACAATATAAGCTGTAACTTGATTCTAAGACATTAGATAGTATGACATGTGGATTCTGGGGAAAATATATGATCACTCTTGGTTGCCATTCACTGCCATAAGTCTTTCCTGGTAAAAATCTCTTCAGTAGTATTTTCACTACTGGAAAACACATTGCTCATGGAGTTGTAGCTAAGTTGTGCTATTGCAAAGTCCAGGAAGGAAAATACACTTTGTTGTTGTTAAACTGACTCATGCACCCCAATTGTGTAGGCTGTCTGACCTGATAATGCAGACCCCTTTTTCTTTTAGTGTGGCCAGGTAAAATGTTCATCTTCTTTTTGTCTTGGGGATGCTAAATAGTCATTTCTTCTAAAACCTGTGGGGACCTGCTAGTTCCACTTAAATGCAAAGATTTTTATTTTGGTCTCTAAGTTGTGAGGAGATTATGCATGTCTGACTTTAATCATAAAGCTAGAACTCAAAAAAAAAAAAAAAAAGCTCACTGCCATCGAGTCAGTTCTGACTCACGGCCACTTCCTTTGAGTTTCTGAGGCTATCAATCTTTACGGAAGTAGATCGCCCCATCTTCCTTCCATGGAGCAGCTAGTGGGTTTGAACTGCTGACCATCTGGTTAGCAGCTAAATGTCTTATCCAAAAATTAGGAGTTAAAAATGGAAAGCTTCCTTAAGACTTTAGGTATATCATAATTCGTTTTTAAAAGACAGAAATGTTTTTATTAAAATTTGACATTATGGTATTTTACTTTCAAATTAATATTTTACACATCCACAAGTAAATATTTTATACAACACATTGAAACTAACACAAAGCTTTAGTCAAGCAATATTGTATTCTCCAATACATGGCCCACATAGTAGAGTTCTGGTGGTTTGTGCTTTTAATGGGAAGAAAGAGGGCTTTCCCCATCTGAAAATATTGGACCCACCAGAGTTGCACAAGTGGACTGGGGACTATTGAAGGAAAAGTCTGAGTTCAAGAGATTAGATCCTCTAATGGGAGGTGGTGCGTCTGATCCTTTTGAGGTGGCCATGTTTACATGCAATCACAAGGAGAAATGTTTGTATGAGGCTGACAGGAGCAGCATTCATCCAAGATTCACATCCTGGAAGAGCTCAAGACAGCCTTTAGGGAACTTCTTTGACCTTAGAGGAGAATTGAAAAATGCCACTGATAATTATAGCATTTTTCCAGCTGTCCTATGACAGCCCTGCCTTCTTTTCCCTGTCATGGGCCCCTAGGATATATTAATTCCAATAGATGGATAGTTATGGTTTGCTCCTATGTACCTCAGTTGGCACAATGGAGATAGAGAAATGAATCAGAAACAAAGCTTGTACCCAAGGAACTTAACAATCTGTAAGGGATAACAAACACTCACAATTATGGCACAAGGTGAGAGCCATTGTTAGACTAAATGGGCCTTTAGGCAAAGAGCTTGTCTCCAATTGGGGGAAATCTGGGAAAGCTTCATGGAGCAGCTGAGATTTGGCCATTTGAGTTGAATAAGATGTGAGTATGTAGGATGGCATTCTAAGTAAAGCAATAAGTGGAAGAAGCAAAGGGTAGCAAGAAAGCACTAGATGTGAATTCGTAGTGCAGATTAATTATGTGGCTTAATTATTGAAGAAGAGATTTGAGGAGGATGAAGTTGGTTGGTGGGGTTCATGGCAGCTAGTGAGTGCCAGACTGTGGCTGCTCAGGGTCATTCTTTTGGTAGTGTGTAGTGCTGAATATTCATGAGAGTGGGCTATGGGAAGCCTAGACTAACCAGAGTATATATGATGAATCAGTGCTGCACAGTGATTGCAGTAGTCTGTGTGAGACACACCTAGGTATCAGGGTTGTGGTAATGAAACTGGAGAAGAGGGAGTGAGCATAACTGTTGCGTGGAATTGGCAGAAAGTCTGAGCAAGTGATTGGAGGCCAAGAAAAAAGGAAGAGTTAGAACATGGTGAGCTCAGATAATGGGTGGACAATGGTGCCATGTAGAGAAGCCAACATGGGGGGGAGGGGAGAGCAGACTGGGCAGACACAGTGTGTGCCAGCAGGGAGGCATTATAGTTTCATGGCCAAGACTCTGGACTTGGTAAGTGCAAAGTTGGGATTCACAGTCCACTTGTGTGACTGTTGCTTAGGTCTCTTTGGCTATAAAGTAGGGAGAATAGTAATAGCACCTTCCCTGGGTTGTTGAGATGAATGAATGAGGCAGGGTGTTATTAGAGCATGATCCACTCAGTAAGCACTGGCTAAATGCTATCCTGTAAGATAGAGACAATAAAGTCCAGCAAGGAGTCAGCCAGTGAGAGAAAGTACAAGACTGAGTAGAGATTTGGAGGCTTTTTCCTTCTAGAGCTAATAGTGGGGGACTGAAAGATTTTTCTGAAAGCCTCAGGCAGGTTCAGGGGAGACCTGTGACTCCAGAATATTTCAGCTCTCACACTGGAGATATCAACCCAGGATAGGAGTTGGGGTGTTTAGAAGCTGGACCTGTGGCTTCTAGAGCAGAGAATGGCTGGCCCTCCCCTCCCCATTTGGGACATTAGCCTACTTGTGTCATCTGGGATATGGCCCTCCTCATTACCTCAGCCTTCACATAGGAGCCATGTTGAGGACTCTACCACCCTCCACCAAGCCCCTACCCTCTGCATCACCGAAGGAAATGGTGGTCAGAACATTGGTGGTGTATCCTGACTCTAGAAAAATAAGTCATAGGAGTAGATCTCTAATATAATGATAACAAATATACATATGATAATTTCCATTATAACCTTATTTTTCTAATTTTCATATAGTATAATAAAATTCATATTGTGTCATTTTTTAAAAAAATACTGAAGTTAATTATTCTTCTAAAGTCTGCGTTTTTAGCAGTTCAAACTAGTAAAATAGCCTATTTATATATTAAATCTTAATGCTTAGTAACAAATCTGAAAGCACCTTTCTTGATGTCTGTCAGTTGTGAACTTAAAAGCTACTTCCTGGGACCCTGATCATATTTGAAAATAACTGTCTTCTTACTTACTAATAGACTGTGCTGCAAAAGTTCATTTTCTAACAACTTAAAATGCATTTTCCCAAAGAAATAAAATGCATTTTCCCGTAGAACTGATGTTAGGTTCCTGGCCAAGCTATAAGAACCTGTTTAACCTGTGTATACCTAAAATAAGGAGCCCTGGCAGTTCAATCCCACCAGCTGCTCTGTGGAAGGAAGATGGAGCAATCTGCTTCTGTAGAGATTTATCACCTTGGCAACCCAAAGGGGTTGCTGTGAGTCAGAATCTACTCCATGGCAGTGAGTTTGGTTGAGTTTGGTTTTGATGGTACAGTGGTTAAGCTCTCAACTGCTAACCAAAATGTTGGTGATTTGAACCTATCAGCTGCTCCATGGGAGAAAGATGTAGCAGTCTGCTTTTGTCAGGATTACATCTTTAAAAACCCTATGGGGCAATTCTGTTCTGTCCTACAGGGTAACTGTGAGTTAGAATTGACTTGATGGTAACAGGCTTGCAATGATTTTTATACTTAAAATTTTAAAAATAAACCAAAACCAGTGTTCTTGAATTGATTCAACTTGTGGCAACCTCGTGTCACAGAGTAGAACTGCTCCATAGGGCTTTCTTGGCTATAACCTTTATAAGCAGTGTGTTTCTTCAGTACTGTTGTTGGATGGGTCTGAACTACCAACCTTTAGGCATCCACCAATCTTTAGGAATGGAGTACAAACCGTTTATACTACCCAGGCACCTATACCTAAAACAGACTACCAGAAATACCCTGTAATAAATTAAAAGCAGACATTCAGTGTTGGCAGGAATTAAATCTGAGATAATAAATGAAAATCACTTTGCTCCATGCCTGACAACATTGTTGGCTAGTGTTGCCCTTGCTTATTGCCCACTGTGGAGTCTGGCAGTAGAATGAAATGACCTCCACCTTGTGGAGAAGGTGGAGAGACCAGGAGGTGCTCTTTTTTGAAGATGAGTGAACCATGTACCACACAAACAAGACTACTGGTTCCTTTTTATTCCATGTCTGATGCTTGGTAAACCTTTAATCAAAAACTGACTTTTCCCATGAAGGAAATTTCCCTCTGTCAGTAGGATAAGAGTTTGGTTTTATTCATGCTGCCTATAGTTTCCTTGTGTATGCATAGTAATGTTTGCTTGGGAAAAGTCACCCAGAGGCCTCCTTTTCCTGGTTCTGGTGCTGAGATTGGGAAAGGCTCACTCTGGGCCCTAACCTGTCAAGCTGTGAAGGCAAGGACTTATCCAGCCTTTTCCTGGGGTAGCCTTCCAGGGGCAAAATTGTTGTTTGTTGTGTGCTGTCAAGTTGACGTGACAGAGTAGAACAACCCCAAAGGGTTTTCTAGTCTGTAATCTTTACGGGAGCAGATCACAGGTCTTTCTGCCATGGAGCCACTGGGTGCATTTGAACTGCTAACCTTTAGGTTAGCAGCCAGGTGCTTCAGTGTTCTACTACCAGGTCTCCTTTTGGGCAGACCCAGGTCTTAAAAAGCAATAGGAACAAGGAAGTATGTATGAAGGAGTCTAAGTCTTGCCTGACCCTCGGGTCACCTGTCCTTATCACCCTGGTCCTGCCACTTGAAGGCCCAGGATAAGTCCTGGGAGCAAGTGAGAAGTTGAAGTATGAGGGGCTTGTTTTTCATCATTTGAAACTGAAATATTCCCATTAATTTTCTATTTAGCCACCTGACTAAACTGTTTTATAAGGAAAGTATCTTTTTAGAGATAAACCAACACCAAACCTACTGCCATCAAGTCAGTTCTGACTCATAGCAACCCCTATTGGGTTTCCAAGGCTATGAATCTTTAAGAAAGTAGATTGTCTCATATTCCTCCCGTGCGACAGCTGGTGGGTTTGAACTGCTGACCTTCTAGTTAGCAACCAAATGCTTTACCCTCTACACTACCAGAGCTCTCTTTTTTTAGAAATAAGTGATGAAAATCTTTTACAGTTGTACCCTTATGCTGTAAAAGAATCACATCAGGCTGATGGGTGAGAAACTTTAACCTAATTATTTAAAAATACAACTTCTGAAGTAGAACAAATGGAAAATACATAAAAAGAGAAGATACCATGAAAAAGTGTGACTAGCTTTAACTGATGACCTCAGTATCTCTTTTTTTTTTTCCTTCTTCAGTAAATTCTTATTATTTAGGCATGAATGGAATACCATTGAATTATATCTTTCAAAATTGTTTGAAAGGAAACTAATTTACTTTGCTCTTGTCCTGTTTATATTATTCTTATTTTTCCTCATTAATAGAACAGGCATTCTCATCGCACATACTGGAACCAATAGAAGAGCTTTCAGAGGAAGAAAAAGGTAACAAAGGGCTTGATAAGGGTTTATGTGCATAGATAATATTTATATGCTAAAACCCAACCCTTGAAAGTACAGAGCCAGTAGTTTTTATCATAGTGTATCAAAATTAGGCAAGATGTTTAGGTTTGGGTTATATTTTTAATCTACATATAGTATTCTCCTGTCTTACTCTCCTAATATTCTATTATTCCCTGCTTTGCTGTATTCTTATGCAAGCAGATGAAAAAGAAATTTCCTGTGTCAGGGAATTTGAAATGTCAAGTCTTCATCTCAAGGCAGGTATTTTCTGATGAGATAAGTTTACACACAATTGGTATGTAATTGTCAGATGATGTGAAAATATTTGTCTCACAGTTGTGATTTTTTATGCTCTGAGATGGATGGGTGAAGTGCCCATTTTAAAATTATTTTTAATAGCAAAGAACACATAGTATCTAAACTCAGAATGTGGAGTATTGAGGTGCAAAATAATACCACAGTGGTGGAATGTTTGAGCTGTTACCTGTCTTTGGAGAAAATTAAAACTACTACTTCTTAATTATTTTGTTTGGTAATTCTTACAGTTGTCCTCAATCAATTTTTGAAGTTTATGAAAATGTTTTTTAAAAAAATCATAAGGAGTATTTTCTAATGCCAAAGTTATAGATCTGGAAAACAATCATATTTGAATCAGTTTATTATGATTTTCTCCTTAATATTAGCACTCTTTTTAATTATATCACTCTTTTAGGAGAAATTAAATTTTTAATATTTATATGGGTTCAGGTTTTGTCATTTTATCAGGAAGAGAAGTAAAATTATATCTTAAAATATATAAACTTTTAATATTTGTTACGTTTCCTTCTGTGTTCTCTAGACTTTTTTTTAAAAAAAAAATATTTTTACAAGACTAGAGATTGAAAATTGACTTAATCAAGCATATATTCATAATATCTACATGATGTATATTTTCAGGTCTTGGATTTGCTGTGTTAATCATCAATGCCTTTTTGATATTTTAATAAAGGATTTATTTATTTTGCTTCCATGTATGTTTGCAATTTGTCTTGAATTTCTGTATTTTATCTGCTGCCTTCAAGTTGTTAGCCAGGCTATTTACACAGTTTAGAATTTCATATCTTCTTGTTAAGTAGTTGTTCATAGACACCACTGCTTTTGGGTAGCATTTTAGTTGTTCCATTTCTTCTGTTCTTATTTCTTTGTAATTGCTGTTCCAATATTTAAAAACATGTTTCTTTCTGAAATAAGAACGAGTATAGATGCAATAAAGTATAATAAAACTATAAGTTGTTGATGGAAATTTAAAGGCATTTTAGATGAGCATAACTTGAAAAGGATATTGTCAGGCTCTTATATAAGGCTCCCCTTGTTCCACTGTCAAAGAAATAAGGAGCATGGTGGATCAATAGTCAACACTTCCAGCAGCATGGCCCAGGCCCAGCCCTCAAGTGGGAGGCCTTAAGGCAAAATCTATTCCACAGAAGTGATTTGTTTGCGCTATCCACTGTTGGCAAATGTTTTATAATCAGTTGCCAATATTTTAAAATTAGAATATTTCATATGAAAATCTGAATTTCTTACTGTTCTTGAAAAACTAGAAGATCAGTCAACATTCAGCCAAGTCTGAGTAGCATTCATCCCTTTAGAAGCAAATGCATGCTTCGTGCTTCGTGGGCTGCCACAACCCTACCCCACAATAGTCTGTCTTCTGCCCACTTTAACTGTCTGGCCTTATTTGTGATCCCTATAGGTAAAGAGGAGCTCTGGTAGCATAGTGCCTAAGGCACTTGACTGCTAACCAGAAGGCTGGCGGTTCAAACCCACCAGCCACTCCTCGGAAGGAAGGTTGGGCAATCCTACTTCCGTAGTGATACTGCCTCGGAAACCCAAGGAGGGGTTGCTATGAGTCGGGGCCGACTCGACGGCAAATAACAACAACAACAACAACATAGGTAAAGAGGGAGCTCTGGTAGCATAAGGGAGCTCTGGTAGCATAGTGCCTAAGGCACTTGACTGCTAACCAGAAGGCTGGCGGTTCAAACCCACCAGCCACTCCTCGGAAGGAAGATGGGGCAATCAACTTCCGTAGTGATACTGCCTTGGAAACCCAAGGAGGGGTCGCTATGGGTCGGGTCCAACTCGACGGCACATAACAACAACACAACAACAACATAGGTAAAGAGGAAGAGTGCTTACAAATACTGCCTTTAAATAATTTACCACCATTCCTATTGGCCTTCTGTAGACAAGATAAAGAAATCTTAATCCTATTTAAGTTTTACATAATGACATCCTTTATTAATGTCCAAAACATAAAATCTCTCGTTCCTTGAGCAATCTGTGTAATGTGTCAGGAGGTTTGTAGAAAGGGTCACACTTGTTTAAAATGAGTGGACTAGGGTTACAAGAGAAGTAGCATTTGTCCATCATCATCCAATGTGGTGTCTTTACCTTCAGCTCCAAGTTCCATCCTTTGCATCATTTTACCTGAACTTCAATTAGAGTTCTACCCACACAGTGTAAGATGTGAGTTTGTCATCAGCGATAGCAGATGCCATCATTGGTTGTTGCCACATTTAGGGGATTGTGTTGAGAAAGAAGATCTCTGCCACTCTCTACCAGTTCAGCCACCGCTCTGGTGGGATGAAAGGGCTGCAGGATGGGAAACTGCCCTAGGTCTCTGTGCAACATTACAAAAACCAGGAACTGCATCCTTTTAGTGCCTCTGTGGACTCAGCACATGGCAGCAGATTAATTGCCATCAATAAATCCCTTGGCCAGTGCTAACATTTTGCAGAGAAATGCCTATGAAGCTGAATTTTTCAAAAATACTGGTTCTTACCAAGAAATAAGCCAGGACTATTTCTGCATACTGGCTTTTTGACAGATTTTCATTGATTGAGTCATACTTGACCTTGCTGTTTGATAGAATATTAGAATGTGAGGGCCTTTGGCCCTCACGATCTTCTTAGAGGCCACTTTTTCTTTTGGAAATCTGAAACACGGGGGGATTAGGAACTTGTTTCACATCGTTGAGTTTAATTAGTGACTGCGCCAGAACAAAGTCAGGTTTTCTGCTTTTCATAGTTTAATGCAAAGAAAAAAAGGACAGAGAACTGTGTTGGTCTGGATTCTGCAGGGCTAGCTGAGGACACTTTGGAAAATCTCTTTACCTCTCTGGTTTTAGTATCATTATGTGAGAAAGGAGTTTCATATCTAGATGACAGGTAAAATTCCTTCAACTCAGAAATTCTTCTTTTCCCTATTACTTGCATTGCATTTATTTGCTTATCATCAGTGGTGCTGTATCGCCGATATATGTGATCACATGTATATGTCCTTGTGCATTAGCATGGCTATTTGCTAGGGTGTGTTTTTAAAATTTTACAGAGGAAATGCTGATCTCTAAAAAGTTTTATCTTGTTTATCTTGATGAACAATATGTGCTTTAACTCAAATCTTCAGGTGTGGTTGGTTTTCTACCTTTGTATAAAAAAGTCTTTTTTTTTTTCTCTCCATTCTATAAGCTTTCCCCACACACACACACTTAAAACCAGTGAAGTTGTATGGTATGTAAATTATGCCTCAATATAATTTTTAAAACAAACAAAACTTACTGAGTACCTTTTAGACACTCAGCATTATAAAGTTCATAGGAAAAGAATGATAAACACAATATCTGCCTTCAGGGAACTTGCAAGCCAGTTTCATAGACAACATACACATCTGTAAAACCATCTGTGTAAGGCTGAGTTCTCTAGAGAAGCAAAACCAGTAAAGCTTAACTATACATATAGAGAGAAGTTTATCTTAAGAAAATGGATCACACACTTACAGAAGCTGGCAAGTCCCAAGTTCTTGGATCAAGTGTCAAACTGGAGGCTTTTCCCAACTCACGAAGCTGCAGGGGCTGACGAGCTCAAGGTTGGTAGGCAGTATACCGGCTGTTGACTCCAACGAGTGATGAATCCAAGATCATCAGGCTGAATGGTTGATTGTTCGCTCATGGACAGTTGTAGGCAGCACAACAGGATCCCGATCCACAGAAGAGTGTCTCATTTTCCCAGGATGTCCATAAATATGTTGGAAGCAGGCCACACCCCTAGGAAAACTCCCTTTCAATGGATTGGCTGTTCAAAACATATACATTGGATCTCATCATAGGAATAACCCACATCACAACTGCTTGAACAACTCAGAATTGTAGTCCAGCCAAGTTGACACATAACTCCAGTTATCACAGTCCACCCCTTGTCAACTTGACAGTTGTACACATCTCTTTAACCATGTATAATATCTAAATAAGGACAGTTATAAAGTCATATTTGTACATAACATGATACACTAACACACATACAACCAAAGTGCATTAACCCTGTTTACATTTCATAGTTCGTAACAGAAGAAAACAAAAATATTTGATGCACATATATAATGAAGAAATATAACAATCACAGTCCTTTTTTCTTTAGCTGGTCACATGGTTGTAGCTGATATTCAGAACTACCTTCTTCCACCACCCATTCCATATTTCCCTTGCCCTCAGCAAGCACCTTACCTGGTCGTGGTTCTTTGCCTGGTGGGGTGATCCAGACCTTCATTCCTGAAGGGTCTGGGCCATTAGTAGTCATAACAGACTTGGGTTGCTATAGTTTTCCATTAACTTTAATCACAGGGCATGGTACTGCTAAGAGATATCCTAAAGAATCTTTTGTATTCCAGACATATTCTTCTTTACCTCCATTATGTAATGTCAGTCCAATTTTCCTTTGGTAATCAGGATCTATCACAGCAGATAGTTCAGTAACACTGTTCTTTGTATGTTGATCCAGAGGCATGAGGAAGCCAAAATGGCCAGGTGGCATTTTTAACTTCCAGTTCAATGTACTCAGTATTGTGTCTCCAGGTGGGAGTGTTCCTTCTTTTAGGACTAAGATCTCCAGACCTGCAGAGCATAGGGTAGCAGGGACAGGAAGCAAAAATTTTTTATGTGAGTCACT